CAGAATTCTGGCAAACATGTCCCAGTATGGGCCCTCCCTCCACTGTCCAAACGTATGGTCAGTGGCAAGAAGAAGGATGCGTCTGTCCAGTCACTTCAGTACAATCTTAGAGGAGTTTATGGAGTCATGGACCTGGCAAAAAATGGCCAAATTGAACAGGCAGAACTTCTTGTTAAGGTTATTATGTTGATATTTTTACAATTGAATTGATAGACTTGTCATATTTCAGCTGATTTTGATTATGACCAAAATTTTATGTTGTTAGCTTGTGAATAGGATGTTTTTTCAACATTGGAGCATGATACATTAAGGGCTGAGTTATGAAGTGAGCAAGGTAGCTTCTTTTTATCTTTTGATTCTTTTTAGTGCATTTTCTCATTTATGGAAAAAAGGGCTATTGTGCTTGCCATGTCCATCTGTCTTGTTTGTCTGTCCGTAACTTAAGGTTTTCATCGATGAGAAAATGCGCTCTCTGTCACTCACTTTGGTGAGTACTGAGTTATATTTTTTTCTGTTCAGCGCTTAGAGGACATCCCACAAGTAAAGTTTGGTGTTGGAGTGTGTATGGCTCTTCTTGATATGCATGTAAAAGCTTCTAATGTGGATGGAGCCTTGGTTGCCCTCGAGCGTCTGCACAACCTTCACCCAGATGTCATCCTCCAGCCATATAAAGTGCTTTCACTAGCAGCTCTTCTGCTCCAGTGCAACCAAACACAAAGTAAGTTCCATGAATCATTCATGCATGTGCTTATATGCATACAATTTATGACCAGAGAGTGCATTTGAATTTTCAAGGAGTTGAACAATTCTTAGATGATGTGCACATGCAGATGACTCTTCACAGATGACTCTTAGCACATGCAGATAATTTCTGCATGTGCTTATATAAACAATTTTGTGATTATCTATTCAACAATTGAAACCACAATCTACAATACTTTTTAACAAGCAATTTATAATGCACAATGGTACAGTCTGAATTATTGTTCTATTACCAAACAATGTGTGTGAGAAATTTCCAACAGGGCAGTCAAAAATTGTAGCAATGCAAACATTTTATTGAAAAATATTGTCTAAATCTCAACAATGGACATGGGAATCCCTAATAAATCACCGGAATTTCAGATCCCTGTAAGATGATCTAGATTTCCATTGATGACTGGTCACAAAGTGACTGGTCAATAATAACTGGATTTATTTTCAGCTGCTTTTAGATTTGCTTAGTAAAATCATGCTAATTAAGCCTTGAAGAAATACATGTATGTTGAATTATGATATTACCTGAATATAAGAAAAAAGGCAGGAAATAGAGATTAAATCAAGGCAGTACTTTTCCTCCATAGAAATAGATTAGCGCAAATCTTCATTGGCTTATCAGAGGCCCAGTCCCTCGCTTCTATGCAAACACAACTACAAATAGTCACCTGTGTCACTCAAACCTTCTAAGTACAATGCTGTTGATCAATAAATTTTGAATATTTTTAATATAATTTACATGTGCACACTAATAGTACCTACATTTTTAAGCCAACCTATGAAGGCAATATCTTAAAAAAAAAGATGTCAACATAAATAATTTTATTATAATTTTCATTGGGCTTGCAGGAAAATTAATTGAGATTTTAACAATGGGTATTCTTACTGCAGAATGATGGGTGTTTTTATTTTAATGATGGGTGTTTTTAATGATGGGTGATTTTAACGATGGGTGTTTTTACTGCAGAATGCTTGGAGGTGCTGAGAGATGAAGCTCCAGACGAGAGCCGCCACTCCTCTAAGCAGCTGCTGGAGCAGCGCTGGAACCCAGATGATCATCCCAAACTCATGGTCAGTTTTTACTAAACCCAGTATAGAAATATAGGTAAATAAATGTGTGTAGGCTCACTGTTACCTTGAACATCATTATCAGCTGGTTATGTATCTGCATTTGATCAGCCTTTTGTACCTACTTGTTTGTTCAAATTACCTACTCAATTTTTTTCCGAAACACTAATTTTCAGGCTGACAATTCTCCAGATTTCATGTCTGCTTTTCATATACTTGGAATTTTCCATCAATTTAGCTATCGGGTTATATACTTTATTTATTTACCTACCTAATAGTGACGTATCACACTACTGTGTGACCGATTCACCTCATCTATTGTAAATTCCACTAACCTGTGGCAGACTCGGTTAGGCCAGCAACTACTGCTGGTGGCGGCTGATGCTGGAGACGTGACTTTAACTCAACGTCTTCTTGACTTGCTTATCAACCACGGTTACTGCTCTCCCTCACGCCTCCTTCTTGCCCCTCTAGTCAAAGTCCACATTGTCAGGTTTGATTTATGAAACAAATTCCATATGTATTCCTATTATTTAGTGTTTTGGAGCTCTTCTTGTTAACATTATCTTTTAGGTCGGATTAGGCCAAACCTGGCCTGTTGAGGATTCTTGCAATGTTGGTGACTTCTTTACGAGGTATAAAAACTAATTTTTTTAGCCTATCTAAAGTGACTTGCTACAAGGCTACTTGTGATTCACCAGGCGCAAGGTTCAACGTGTTTTTGACACAATAATAAAATAAAAACGAAACATTTTCTGGTTGCTTTATTGCCTCAATACCGATTTAAGAGCAGTAAAATTGGTGCTTGATACCTGCTTCACTTTCCCAGCTGTCAATGGCTATTCCGGTCATTTTCAAGAGTGACAAAATTACAGGATTAGCTACCAGCGGCATTGGTACCAGAAAACCATTGTTTTTTTTTCTATGCTAAAAGATTTGATCACAAATATTTTCTAATTGAAGCCAAGTAACTACCAATGTCTCTTTAATCACATTTGTAAAACTTTTATCACTTTTGTAAAAAATCAATTCTTGAAAATTATGTCTATTATTAAAATTATCAAAACCAATAGAAAAATTTAACCTATAAAGTAAAATGTATGATATAAGAAAAAAACAGATCTTCATCACTTAACACAAGCCTCATTATTTTGACATTTTGATTTTGATACAAGTTTTTAAAAAAGACATGCCAGACTTATATCCAGGCTACCAAGTGATCTTTGTCCTCAAATTTCGATGAAATGAAATTGAAACCAAGCATATTTGATCATTACAAAGAGATCATAAGGTTGAAGCGTGTGCTACTGAGCTTTATGTATTAGAAATTACCAGTACTGTTTAAGAAGTAATATTGCAGGGGTGACTCGACTGCTGCACTGAAGGTGCTAGAGGAGGTGGCGGAGAAGCACAGCTGGCTACCGTGTAAGGCTGAACTGCTGCATTTGCTGGTTACAAACAAGGACACTACAAGGTTTGTATACATTTTTACAGTCATTTTTTATTCATGTCATTATATCTGTCTCTAAATTTATTTCTGTCTAAGTTTCATGTTAAAATGCCCAAACATTCTCATCATCGCATACAGCTCGTGATGGACCATTGAACCCAATTCTTATTTTCCTCTTTCGAGTTTGACGTTTAAATTCATCCAAGTTTTTTTATTGACTCATGGAACTTGAAAGCTGTAAGGCTTTCAGGCTTTGATTATTTTAGCTTCTACAAATTTTTTTTAAAAATGATGTAACCAGTCATATGTACCTATGTTAATTGGAATTTACTTTAAATTAGAAACAGGAATCCTCGAAAAAATGCTTAAATAATCATAACTAAAGATCATGTACAATTATACAATTAAGCATGTGTTGTATTTATTGTTATTGTTATCCTACAATAATATGGCTTCAGCACGGCTTCCTGCAAGAATTAGCCAATGGGGCTCAAATATGAGACACTTGAACAAAGAACACTTTTTCCTCTAAAATTTTAGTCGTGAATCTAACTTACTCATTTACTTGACATCTTGACATCGTAGTTTTATTGAATAACTTCTCTTAATGATTGTGCTGAATCTTGGGCCTGAAATCCTGAAATCATAGTTTAATTGAAAGATTTTTTTATTTGCGATGGCTGATGTTTTGTTAATTATGATGATGTTGCTTGCCCAGCCTGGAGCGTCTGATGGAGCTGTCGTTCGCGGTGATCGGTCGCCCGCACGCTATGCTGGACCTCGCCGTCACGCTGCTCGAGTGCGGCCACCTCGACAAGGCCGTCCAGATACTCAAGGTAAGATCTGACCCTAGTGTATTACCAACTGTAATAAGAACTACTGTAATAATATCTCTCTCTAGTACTAAGAACTGCCCCCTGGTACTGCAAACATACTGGCCTGCTCGACAAGGCGGTTCAGATACATAAAGTAAGATCTGACTCGAGTGTAGTACTGTAATAAGAACTACTGCTAGGACTGTAATAAATTTCTCTAATACTAAGAACTGCCCCTGGTACTGCAAACATACTGGCCAGCTCGACAAGGCCGTCCATATACTCAATGTTACAACTGCTGGTAACATTTTTTGTCCATAATTCCCGGAGAAATGTGTTATTTTGTTATGTGGTTCCTGAGATGCCCTTGGCATTCTTGTTAAAATGCCTTCGCAAATAAAAGTCTATCCTTTTTCCGGTCTGAATATTTGTTTCATCCTCCACTTCCCAAGATGCTTTTCTGGCTGAAAGCCTGATATTGATTTTTGTACCGAATATTAAAAGGGAATCGTGACATAACTGCTACTTTGAAGAGGTGTAAGCTCTATTTTTGTCTCTGCTGCAATCCAATCATTAATCCAATAAATCGTAAAACTGTGTTCGCCTCCGTTTATTGAGCAATTAGATCCCCTACAGTAGGTAACTTATAAAATAAATTGTAAGACCAAGCGCTGTAAAGTATACGTGCGGATAAGATTACATTTCGTAGTAGCAGTTTGCAAAAATAACTATTGAATTCTTTATCTATAATTCATATGAATAGGTCGAATTATTTCAAATATTCCTGACTAAGGTTGTAGAATATTGTTTTGTGCCACAAATTCGACTTTGTATGAATAAAAAAAAAGTTTTAATGTTTTTCCTCCACATTATATGGCCAGGATGAAGACGTGACGCTGGAGTCTGAGCGTTACGCCTACTACCGTCAGTTGTGGTGCTAGTTGTGTACTGTATGTTACACATGATTACTCTTATCATTTCAATCTATTTTGAATGTATGGCTTCTATTTAGTTTTAATTCAATTTAGGCGTATTCCGTCTAATAAAAGTTATCATTTAGTATTTTTGGTTATCAGTTAAGTATTTTGGGAGAGCTTCTGTTGGGAATGTTACTTTTTTAAAAATCTAATGTTAATGTGTTTCTGCACCCGAGCTGTCTGCATTTTCTGTAATTGTAAATTGATTTTTTCCAGAATTAGCTGGTGAAACCCAGCTAGCGAAGGCGCTCCTGACGCAGTTGCAGGCGCAGAATGTCACCGAGACAGACTTGATATCAATGGTGCCGCCCCTCCCCGCCCACCTCTGGCGGGACAAACGTGTTACAAACGTGCCCAGGCTATCAAATTCATCTGATACTCAAGCACATGAAGAAAAATATACTGATTTTAACCACGATAATGATATAAAATCAAAGCAACAGTCGGAGTTTCGAAGGGAAGGCAAAGCGAAACCTGATTCATTTAAAGTTTCTACATGTCACAGACAAGGTAACGAAGATAGGTCGGTAAATGCGCCGGAATTTCTTGATGAAAATCACCGTGAATCAAATAGGCAATTTTCTAGCTCCACGTTCTCACCACGTGGCCAAAATAAGCTGTCACAGCTTCAGAATACATCACCAATAGAGCAGGATGAACCATCACGAGAATGGGACTACGATGCACCTCCATATGAGCGAGAGTTATGCCAGTCCATGCGGTCTTTCGGATCGAGATATTTTCCGCCCTTTAACGAAGAGCAGGAAAAAACCAAAAGCAATCGTCGATTTTCTAATTCCAGTCCAGGTTCGTGGATAATTATTGAGATGTATTATAGTTATTACACTTGAAATTCTTCCGCCTTTCGCCCATGTGCTGATTTGTATGTTTGTATGTTTAATACGTGATAGCCGTGAGGCTTGGAATGAGTTTATTAAGATCAGTAGGTACGTAGATTATTTTACTGCTCTTTTATTTTTTTTCGGTTTGCTGTGTTTATTTTGCATCCAACAGAAGCATACTCAACATCATTCCTGTGTTATGCCGACTGTAGGTAGCATGCTAGGCTCTCTGTTGTCAGGTTAATAAAAGAAAATTTTTTCTTTCAGGAACTAGCAAAGAACAACGGCAAATACAGCGAACAAAATCATCGCACTCATCCGACGTGTGGTGAAGTGAAGAGTGCGATCAGATGTGAAGAATCCGTAGTGTCAAGCTCCAATTCTCTTATCCATAACTGTTGAAGAAACTATTGTTCTATAATTTAAAAATATTACTGCACTTTTTCCGTTATATTCACAACCAATTCCGTAGTGCCGAGCTCCAACTCCCTTATCCATAACTGTTGAAGAAACTATTATTAAATTTGTAGGTAAATATTACTACTCTTTTTCCGTTATATTCACAACCAAAGCCTTAGCCACGACGCCCCGCCGTTTTTTTACCCCTGAATTAAAACCATGATGAATTTAATTATATTGTTCTATTATTTTATTGAGGTTTTTGGTAGCAAATGTGCCATCCGCACAGCGGCTCTGCGCTGTTTTGTGCTGTTGATTATCTGTCAAATTTAGAGGAATAATTTGAAAAAAAATTACCTACCTGTCTAGTAATAAAGTTCAGACGCGGGTTCATCTAAATTAAACTTCTCACATGAATTTACCAAATTATGGCAGGTGATTTCACAGTAAAACTATAGGTGTATAAATGGTTATGTATAAAACTCGGCGGAGATTTTAAATGACGGTGTAGAAATCGCACGCTCAGTTCTGTGGCACTAATAAGTAAAAAAAATTGCTTGACCAGTTACATAGAATTGTATTTGGTTGCCACTCAATAGATTGTTTCATTTTTGATTCGCTAGTTTCATATCTTTTTTCTTTAGTTGGGCGCTATGGCTTTTTATGTTTCGAAGGTCTTGTAACTTGATCCTTACAATAAAATTGTGCAGGACATGTATCGCTTCATTTGTTACACGTCTCCATACGTGACATGGCTGTCTCTTAATCGTTTAAGGAACGCACCGACAGCGGTTGAAAATATAGTGCCACGCATTGCAGTACACTGTCCCATATCGTTGTTTACAATACGGTTTTACATATTACGGTTTACAATATGTGCCACTCATTGCAGCACACATATCGCGGTCCATTTTAGAGTGTCGCATATTGCTGTTTATTATACAGTGCCTCATATCGCTGTTCATTATACAGTGTCTCATATCGCTGTTCATTATACAGTATCATTTATTGTCGTTTATTATACAGTGTAACATATCGCTGTTCATTATACAGTGTCACGTATTGCGGTTCACTCCCCAAGGAAATGCTTCAAAGGAGCATAAGGGAAGACGCGCTCCCTGGGATCCTGAGCAGAATACAATAACAGGAATAGAATAATAGCGATGTGCAGTATATAAATGACCAGTGCAATGCCGGCTCCTAGACTGCTAACTTTGTGTACACGATGACTCCTTTCTGGGATGAGTGGAACTGATTCTTAGTGAGTATTATGAGGAGTTTTGTTTGACGGTAATATGCAGTTTTGTGTGATTGTACTGTGTAGGTAGTTCTGTGTGATTGTGCCGTGCAGTTCTGTGTGATTGTACCGTGCAGTTCTGTGTGATTGTACCGTGCAGTTCTGTGTGATTGTGCCGTGCAGTTCTGTGTGATTGTGCCGTGCAGTTCTGTGTGATTGTATCGTGCAGTTCTGTGTGATTGTGCCGTGCAGTTTTGTGTGATTGTGCCGTGCAGTTCTGTGTCATTGTATCGTGCAGTTCTGTGTGATTGTGCCGTGCCGTTTTGTGTGATTGTGCCGTGCAGTTCTGTGTGATTGTACCGTGCAGTTCTGTGTGATTGTACCGTGCAGTTCTGTGTGATTGAAATGAGAGGTCACCACTAGAGGTTGGGGTGTTTTGTGGTTTGAGGTTGGGGGATGTGGGGTATAAATTTAAGTGCAATGATTTCTCAAAGGGTTATAGTGTGAGGATGGCACTAAATAAACTAAAGGTTGAATCAAATTCCTGCGTGTATATGAAGGAAGCAGTGTAAAATTTTTTCTATACACAAATAATTGAGGACTTTTTTTTAGTTTAATCTCTCAAGCTTTCTGATAAGAGGTACAGTAATGGGTTCAATGTGTCTTAAAATTTGTCCAAATGAAAGGTTCGATAAATCCTGCGACGAAGAAAGAAATTATCAGAAAGCTTGAGAGATTAAACTCAAAAGAAGTCCTCAATAAAACTGCCATTATTTTTAACCAAACATGCTTAAATGAAGGGCTCTACCCTAAATATACAAATAATTGAGTAAATAAATGCTTTTATCTTGAATAAACTTGAACTAGGTATATCCCACGCAATACTACTTGTAATTCACGCACACGACAGGACCGTTCGTTCATGTGCTGCGTGGAGTTGCGTGGTGACGCGTGCGTGATGTCAGCTCTGGACGCGTGCGTGTCAGAGAGCGTCAGGCCTCAGCTCATNTCCTGCAAGAATTAGCCAATGGGGCTCAAATATGAGACACTTGAACAAAGAACACTTTTTCCTCTAAAATTTTAGTCGTGAATCTAACTTACTCATTTACTTGACATCTTGACATCGTAGTTTTATTGAATAACTTCTCTTAATGATTGTGCTGAATCTTGGGCCTGAAATCATAGTTTAATTGAAAGATTTTTTTATTTGCGATGGCTGATGTTTTGTTAATTATGATGATGTTGCTTGCCCAGCCTGGAGCGGCTGATGGAGCTGTCGATCGCCGTGATCGGTCGGCCGCACGCTATGCTGGACCTCGCCGTCACGCTGCTCGAGTGCGGCCACCTCGACAAGGCCGTTCAGATACTCAAGGTAAGGTCTGACTCTAGTGTAGTACTGTAATAAGAACTACTGCTAGGACTGTAATAATAACTCTCTCTAATACTAAGAACTGCCCTCCGGTACTGCAAACATACTGGCCAGCTCGACAAGGCCGTCCAGATACTCAAGGTAAGACCTGACTCTAGTGTATTACCAACTGTAATAAGAACTACTGTAATAATATCTCTCTCTAGTACTAAGAACTGCCCCCTGGTACTGCAAGCATACTGGCCAGCCTGACAAGGCGGTTCAGATACTCAAGGTAAGATCTGACTCTAGTGTAGTACCTACTGTAATAAGAACTACTGCTAGGACTGTTATAATAAATCTCTCTAATATTAATTAAGAACTGACACCAGTACTGCAAACATACTGGCCTGCTCGACAAGGCCGTCCAGATAGTAGGTAGATACGCAAAGGTATAACTGCCCAACACTTTTTGTCCATAATTCCCGGAGAAATGTGTTATTTTATTATGTGGTTCTTAAGATGCCCAGTCAATAGTTTATTTCCCTAATCCTCGTTAGAGTGCCTTCGCAAATTTGAAGGTCTATCTTTCTTCCGGACTGAATATTTGTTGTTATCCTCTGCTTACCCAAGATGCTTTTCTATCAATAAGCCTGGCATTGATTTTTGTACCTAATACCTACCAGAAGTGAAGCGTGAAATAACTGCTACTTTCAAGAGGTGTAAGCTCTATTTTTTGTCTTTGCAATCGAATTGTTAATCCAATAGGTAAATATGTAAGACAAAACTTCTAGTAGATGTGCGAATACGATGACTTTTCGTAGTAGCAATTTGCAAAAATATTGATTAAATTAATTATCTAGAATTAATGTGAACGGGTTGAATTCTTCAGCTAGTGAATTCTTTATCTGTAATCGATATGAATAGGTCAAATTCTTTAGAATATTTCTTACGAAATTTATAAAATAATGTTTTCTGCAACAAATTCGACCTTTTATGAGTACAAAAAAAAAAAAGAATTATGTTTTTCCTCCTTATGTTTTATGTTATGTTTTTATGTTATGCAGAATAATATACATACATAATATGTATAGTATCCTTATGTTTTATGTTATGGCCAGGATGAAGACGTGACGCTGGAGTCTGAGCGAGTACAGTATTTGTGCAAGCTGTACGTGAGCACGAGGCAGCTGCAGCACCTACAGCAGCTGTGCTCCCTGGCGCGGTCTGCTGCTTGTGAGGCCAGAGATGTTCTGCTCATACAAGCTCACCTCTACGCCTACTACCGTCAGTTGTAGTGCTATTAGTGTGTACCACATATGATAACACTTATTATTTCAATCTATACAAGCCTACCTCTACGCTTACTACCGTCAGTTGTAGTGCTATTAGTGTGTACCACATATGATTACACTTATTATTTCAATCTATACAAGCCTACCTCTACGCCTACTACCGTCAGTTGTAGTGCTAGTTGTGTATATTACACGTGACATGATTACACTTATTACGGTACCGGTATTTCAATTTATACAAGCCAACCTCTACGCCTACTATCTATACAAGTCCACCTCTACGCCTACTATCTATACAAGCCTACCTCTATGCCTACTATCTATACAAGCCTACCTCTACGCCTACTATCTATACAAGCCTACCTCTATGCTTACTACCGTCAGTTGTGGTGCTATTTGTGTATATTACACGTGACATGATTACACTTATTACCGGTATTTAAATTTATACAAGCCCACCTCTATGCCTACTATCTATACAAGCCCACCTATACGCCTACTACCGTCAGTTGTGGTGCTAGTTGTGTACTGTATGTTACACATGATTACTCTTATCATTTCAATCTATTTTGAATGTATGGCTTCTATTTAGTTTTAATTCAATTTAGGCGTATTCCGTCTAATAAAAGTTATCATTTAGTATTTTTGGTTATCAGTTAAGTATTTTGGGAGAGCTTCTGTTGGGAATGTTACTGTTTTAAAAATCTTATGTTTATGTGTTTATGCACCCGTGCTGTTTGCATTTTTTGTAGTAATTGTAAATTAATTTTTTTCCAGAATTAGCTGGTGAAAGCCAGCTAGCGAAGGCGCTCCTGACGCAGTTGCAGGCGCAGAATGTCACCGAGACAGACTTGATATCAATGGTGCCGCCCCTCCCCGCCCACCTCTGGCGGGACAAACGTGTTACAAACGTGCCCAGGCTATCAAATTCATCTGATACTCAAGCACATGAAGAAAAATATACTGATTTTAACCACGATAATGATATAAAATCAAAGCAACAGTCGGAGTTTCGAGAGGAAGGCAGAACGAAACCTGATTCATATAAAGTTTCTAGATCTCACAGACGAGGTAACGAAGATAGGTCGGTAAATGCGCCGGAATTTCTTGATGAAAATCACCGTGAATCAAATAGGCAATTTTCTAGCTCCACGTTCTCACCACGTGGCCAAAATAAGCTGTCACAGCTTCAGAATACATCACCAATAGAGCAGGATGAACCATCACGAGAATGGGACTACGATGCACCTCCATATGAGCGAGAGTTATGCCAGTCCATGCGGTCTTTCGGATCGAGATATTTTCCGCCCTTTAACGAAGAGCAGGAAAAAACCAAAAACAATCGTCGATTTTCTAATTCCAGACCAGGTTCGTGGATAATTATTGAGATGTATTATAGTTATTACACTTGAAATTCTTCCGCCTTATCGCCCATGTGCTGATTTGTATGTTTAATACGTGATAGCCGTGAGGCTTGGAATGAGTTTATTAAGATCAGTAGGTACGTAGATTATTTTACTGCTCTTTTATTTTTTTTCGGTTTGCTGTGTTTATTTTGCATCCAACAGAAGCATACTCAACATCATTCCTGTGTTATGCCGACNACCGTGCAGTTCTGTGTGATTGTGCCGTGCAGTTCTGTGTGATTGTACCGTGCAGTTCTGTGTGATTGTACCGTGCAGTTCTGTGTGATTGCACCGTGCAGTTCTGCGTGATTGTACCGTGCAGTTCTGCGTGATTGTACCGTGCAGTTCTGTGTGATTGTACCGTGCAGTTGTATTCTTTCTAAATTATGACACGAATGTAGGTTAGAAAATAATTTTCGTGTACATTTCTATAATTAAGATAAGTTCGAGGTCAGGTCAACTCAATTTCATTCCATGCTTCCTTTTGTCAAGCCAAAGAAATTATCACGTGAAATTATTGTCTTGCAGTGTTTACGTGAGAATAGGATAACCGAAAACGTTGAAGGCTTTAAGTACGAATAGGATATCATAAAATACTGAAGTGTTTACGTGACAATAGGATAACAGAAACGTTGAAGGCTTTAAGTAGGAATAGGATATCATAAAATACTGAAGTGTTTACCTGAGAATAGGATAACAGAAACGTTGAAAAGTCAGAGTGAGAATCTTAATGAAATGGCGGAGCCTCTGCCTGCCTCGGCCAACTCATCGGTGGTCCTGCATTTGGCTGCTGCAAGGATCAAGGAACTCCACCATCTGCAGCGGGAGTTAGGTTAGTGCTATATATNCAGCGGGAGTTGGGTCAGTGCTATATATTATTACTTTAAATACTTAGCAGTATTTTGGAATTATTTGAGAAGGTCAAGCGTCGTGCAATATCCGTGGATGTGGCGGTATTCAGGATCGAATAGCTACAGCTGCCGGCGCAACGTAGCTCTCCATTGCGACGACTAGTCTTCGTCGATAATATCTGTGCATTTCTATGAAAGCTGTGTCGTTCATTTGATTTCTGCAACGCATTGAGTTTGTGCAAGGCGTTGATTTACTGAACTACCACTTAATTTTCGCAAAGTCAATATTTTCAATATTCGCGAAGCAGTCTGCCGCAATGTAGTTGCGCACAAAATAAGATAACGAATCATTTTATTTACAGTGAAAATTCAATGTTTGGAGTCATTTTTCACTGCTGCTCAACAAAACGTTTGGGACTCATGCAGCAAGCAATATGTATAAATGCGTGCTGATTTAGCGTCTTAACGATTTAAAATCCTTAATGCTTTGCTTGTTACCCAACTTTATGAATTAACATTTAACATGCATGCAGGGAAAAAACTTTTTTCTTTCAATCATTCGATTTGTAACTAAATATTTACATGGATGCTGTCAACGGAGAATTGCTCCTCGCATTAGTAATATTGATATACCGTAGATAACATTATAATGGAGTATCTATTTGTATTATTTCTAATAATATTTGAATATGACAGAGCAATGCAAGTCCGGCAAGGGCGGCAGAAGTTACCAGAAGCTGCCCCGCCACATGCAGCGCAGGGCGCTCTCCTCCAACCCCAAGCGCCTCCCCCGCCGTCTGCGCCGCCGTCATCTTGCTGAAGGAGAGCCTCCGCGTCCCTCCAAGCGACCTGCTGCTAAACACAGGTTATAATCACACGCCGTCTTATCTAAAGTCGCATAAGTACGCTTAGCGGCCTAAGTAAAATGTGCTTATACACGGTGCTATTAGTTGCGGATATTTTTATGCGTCTACTACAGTTTTGCAGGCTAAGAGCCTATACACGAGTATAGTGCTGTCTCTTATACACATCTAGATGTGTATAAGAGACAGCATACAAGTGATATCAATTCTTTAATAGCTATCTACTAAGCGCCGCGCTTGTGTTGCATGAGGCATGGCCCCTGTCAATCGCTAGCTCGTCAATCGGTCAAGAAGCGCATGCAGAGGCTGCAAAGCGCCTCTGCATGCGCGTTGAGGCACTTGACTCTCGTGTGTTGCCCCTAGTGTGAACGGGCCTTAACACTGCGCCCGCGTCCGGCGTCAGTGCGACGTTGGGAGTTGTCGAGTAAGGGTGTGCATGGTGGAGGCATGCGAGAGCAAGACAGCAGTGCGCGTTACAGTGGGCGAGAGAGAGAGAGAGCGACGCAGCTGTGCTCGGTATGACGACCGGGCGGCTACTGAGCGCAATAGACTGCTTCAAAACAACTCAAGTTGACTTGCCTGTAATGAACCAGCTAGTTGCCTCTGAACACGTCAAGCATCACAAATTTTAGTAGCCTCGCCTAGTAGACGCAACTAATAGACCCGTGTATAAGCACTTAAACATAGCGGCCTAAGTACACGTAGCGGACTTAGTACACATAGCGGCCTAAGTACACGTAGCGGCCTAAGTACACGTAGCGGCCCAAGTACATGTAGCGGCCCAAGTACATGTAGCGGCCCAAGTACACGTAGCGGAGCCTAAGTACATGTAGCGGCCTAAGTAAACATAGCGGCCTAAGCACACGTAGCGTTCATCGCACTATTTACTATCCTCCCTATCCGTGCTTGATTTCTGCCACCCTAATTAATTAGTTAATTAATTATTATCAATATTTTTATGAAGTAAAGAATTAATCAAGGATTAACTTCCCCTGACAGACCACGACCACGTGCGGGTGAGGACAAACTTGACGCCCCAATAGTCTCCTCGCGTGTGAACCGCGTGGGCGCCGCGCGTGTGGACCGCGTGGGCGACTACGAGCGCCGCCAGAGTGTGGCGGGCAACACGTGGCTGGAGACGCACGTGTGGCACGCGAAACGCTTCCACATGACGCGTCGCTGGGGCTACGCGCTCCCCTTGCGCCCCACGCAGAAGATGTACCGCCCCACTCTGCGGGCTGCTGCTCAGCGCTGCGTTCTTCAGGTGGGTGAGGGGGCTATTAACTCTCAAGCGGGTTCGCTTGAAATTACGTGTGTTGAATGATGAATTGGAACGCAGTGCATTCAGGTGGGTTTGAGAGCTATTAACTGTCAAGTGGGTTCGCTTGAAATTAGGTGTGTTGAGAGTTGACTTGAAATGCACTGCGTTAAGGTGGGTTGTGGATATCACAGGTATTAAATGAATGCTAAACTGCAAAGTTGGCTAGGTTACCAATTAGGTGTGCTAGGGGATGAATTGAAACTCGGCGCGTTTTTAAGGTGGAAATCACCTTAAAAGACGGTTTAAACTCACATGGAACTTAACCTGGAACTGGGTTTGACGTGACTTTGATCAAAGCACTATAGGTCATTCTAGTTGATTGCGGCGAATAATCATGGTATATTTTTTCATTAATTATCACTGGAACACAGGAGATCTAGAGGGAAATGATTACCACATTCCGCCCTCCAATGAGAGGTCACCACTAGAGGTTGGGGTGTTTTGATTGTAATTCACGCACACGACAGGACCGTTCGTTCATGTGCTGCGTGGAGTTGCGTGGTGACGCGTGCGTGATGTCAGCTCTGGAGGCGTGCGTGTCAGAGAGCGTCAGGCAGCAGCTCATCTCTGTCAGCAGCGGTGGGATCGTCAGCCTCACCCTCTACAAGCCTCGCATGTCAGTTCAGAGATTCATGTTTAAATCAAAATTTGTATGAGAGAATTATTTTATTTTTATATTTTCAAATGCATTAATTAGTGCTAGATATTGTTTCCTCACATTTGAAATAATGATTTTTAGGCTTTATTTTAAAATAATTGAATTACAGATTGGGTTCAAACGGCCGGATCCCTTGTGGAATTCACAAAAAGTACAAGAATCGGCAGCAGGTCATGGGCCCATTTCGTCGGTGCTGACAATTCTATTCTATTCTATTATCCGTCTTCGGTTGGGTGTTGGCATTTTCGATAGATAGATACTATGGAATAAAGTGAATGAAACTACACCATCATTGGTTTTCTGGTCAGTTTTTTTTATTTGTTTTATTTTTTATATAACATTTGTTATCTCTTGAAGGTGTCCGAGGCAGGCGGTGTGCGAAGTGGAAGTACAGAAGCTGCCTTCTCTCGGCACCGACTCTTGCGATGGCAACAGCGACAGAAATGGCGCTGCCGATCACTGTAACCGCAGGGATTTCGATCACAACGATGTCGAAGGTAAAATAAGTGTCCATAATCAAGAGTAAAAAATGCCTAATGTTTTGCATTTTGTTCCATTTAGGAAATGTCGGTTCTGTTATCATTCGTGGATTATGAGATCTCGGTATGAATTTTTTTAAATACTAAAATTTTTGTTGCAGGAGGCGCCTCGAGGTTATGGTTGTGGGTGCACCCCGCTTCCCACGAGGACCTTCTGCAGCTTCTGCGTCAAATATTCAGCTTACAGCCACAGATACACGGTCACTGTGTAAACCAGTGTGATGAAGAGCCTGGCGAAGCCATGGAAACAACAAACGATGACCACGATTTATGCAATGACCGTCAACATTCTCACGACAAAAAACTAAAATCAATTAATAACAATAATATTGACAGTAATGAACTCACAAGCGTTCAGGACGTGATACCTGAAGGTAACGAGACTCAGAATTTTTTGGATGTAGACACAACATCAGACGTTGTTTTAAAATCAAAAGTGAAGCGCAAACACCGACTCCTACAGCAGCGTCTAGACCGAGCAGGCGCACCGGATTACGTGAGTGCGGACAACCGCGTCGCCGTAACGTGTTTACGGGACACTCTGAACCGCTTCTGCCTACGCGGGCCTGAGACGTACAGGGTTCTGAAGACCGTCTTGTTGCCTTCTACTGTGGTGCCCCAGCACACAAAACTTGTTCCTAACAATCCCACTCATGATTCTCAGTCTGTGGAGGAGAAATCTCTTCATAAAGCACGAAGTTCTGATGAAGATACTGCTGATGAAACGAGTGGCAGTGGCAATCTCTCTCAAGAATCTCAATATGATGAGAAATCCATGAATAAATCACGATCTTTAAATGATACTACGGTCGATGAAGCTAATTTTTTCAACGGAGGTACAAGAACTAGTGAAGAAAGCGCCGAAGATTCGAGTTCGTGGTGGACGAGTTTCTTTGGTCGCATGGGGCGCGCCGAGGCGCACGCAGGCAACGCGGCGCTGTGGGGCACAGCGCCGCGTGTCACAGAGGACCTCGTCTTGCCCCTCGTGGTGCGCGACCCTCGCGTCGTGCTGCCCCGCGCACGCGTCAAGATGTCAGAGACATGTTAGTGTTGGGGCTACACACTCAGATGTTTTTTCTTACATGTTATACTACCTGGGATTTTTTTCTGTTTTTCTAATGCTTCTATTTTGTTTTCGCTCCTTTTTTTCGCGCTGTGACGAATTCTATTGTTTAGCTCAATTCCTCCGTTTTCTTCCCTATGATTACTTAGTGTTTGGTTGTGATTGATTTTCTATGTACCTATATATTGTTTTTCCAATACTATTTGTAGGTGCACGTTTGTATAACAAACATTATTCAAAAATTTATTTTTATGTACAGGTCTTCCATGAGCTTCCATTTTCCATGTAAATATTTCTATAGAAATACTGAATTTTTTTTTTTCAATGGGCTTGTGCTGATAAATTTGGACCATTCATTGTTTTCTATTATTGCCCCATTGAATTCTAAATCAATTTGAGTATCCACTGTGCTTGTGCCTCAATATAATCATATCAAGTTCTATGTAAGAGACTCGGGTCTGCTTACAGCCGCAGAACCTCCCTCGCCCTCGTGGGGGCGGGACGCTGTCGCCCCCCTCAGCCCTCTCTACGACCCCCGCGTCAGGAGAGCCCTCCTGAGACACCGCTGCACTGATCACGACATAAACACGTACGTATTGCAGGGCACGTGACGTAAAATAGAACCAGTTTAGACAAATCAATAAAGAACAAGCTAAAAGAATAAATCTTTGATCGCCGTGTTTGTGAGTCCAGGAGCCTTATTATATCAAAACTCGCACAAGTACACGTCGCCACCGGTTTGTCGTCAATGATTGGTGAGTTTGGCTATAAAGATCGTCAGAAATTGAATAATACCAGATAATCAATTGCCAATTACAGAAAAGTTCGCTGTTATTTTTAATATTAATTCCTTTGGACCGTATTTTGAGAATTTATTCCTCTCTGTTCGATGTAGCTTGCAAGTAGACGATCACCGTCTTGCTGTTCTGGACTAGACTGATGAAAGAGTAACGTAATTCCTACCTGGTAATTTATTTTGCAGTCGTCGGCACCGAGAAGCAGTGCCAGGAGCCATGCTGCCGCTGGATGACGAAGAGGCTCGGCTGCCGGTCCTGCTGCTGCTGCGACGCCCTCAGGGAGACGACGTCTCTGGTGAGTAGATCCTCGTAGCAATACTGAACCAGGCGCCTAAGATACCCTTAAGGTAAACATACATCTAATGATTGTATGAATGACTTGATATAATTTCACTAGGTACCATTCTACTCGCGCTGGCTGCTCGTTTGTTCTGATATGGGCGAGCCGGTGTTAGAAATCAGGGTACCCGAAGAGAAATGAGTCACTTTGTTTTATGAATGCATCACATATTTTTTTTATGAATATTGTCTACTCAATTCTCATTATTTTGTTTATAAACAAGTTTTTTTGCGATTTCCATTATTTTGTTCAAAGCGAAGTTGAAATGTCGTGGTCGCAGGAAAGAGCGCCGTGGACGTGGTTATTCCTGGTGGTTGGGGCAGCAACTTTTGGACGGCGCTGGTGCTGGCAGGGGCCGTGGCCACGGGGGTTGACTCAGAGCTTCACTTCATGAGGGAAGAACTCACTCTCCCTCCGTCATACTCGCTTCCCGACCTTCCCTCGGGGAAGCGTTATGAGGAGGCCGAGGCCCTGGAAAGACATGAGGCTTATTTCAGAATGCCTCCGGACAAGAGACCGAATTTCATTAAGTTGGGCGTTCAGTTTCCATTTTCTTTTCCTTGGTCCAAACTTGTGGCGTCGCTGCGAAGCAGAGATATGTTCCATCAAATGCATGAAATATGCTCTGGGTTTTCCAGGGAAGTTTTGTTGCAGTTGGGGCTTGACGGTGGAAAAATCTCAACTGCAGAAAATGAGGCAAGTGACGAAGAGATCGTTGTGATGAGGAATCCTCGTTTCTTGTCTGCTTTGGATTATATTTCGTGCTGCAGTGGCAGCAGACGTAGAATTTTCCGAGGAGTAGACCAGGAATCAGAAGGGACCGTCGATACCTTGCCTGTTGATGGATCTGAATCAAATATCCGAACATCGTCTGAAGAAGCCCTTGGATTATCATTGGACGAATTAACTGACATGCTGAAGCTCATGAAGCAAACCAGCCAATCGTATCTGGTGCGCGTGCAAGTCACCCTCATAGGCAAAGGCGCCCTAGAACCCGGCGCTCTAATTTGTCGCCCAAACTCCCAAGATCTCGTACATTTGAAGGAGGTTCTCACCAACGCCCTACGTCCTAGTGTGCACGTGTCTATGGGCATCACAGAGCCGAGCTGCCGTGACTCCAATGAGGAGAAGAGGAAGAAATTAAAAGAGGAACACGCCAGGGATCTGGTGAGGCTTGGGTTCTTGATGGAATTGATCATTGTGGATGTGAGTGTCATGACACTAAGCGACTTCGTGATTAACGTTTCGTCATTGAATTTATATTTATTTTATAAATCTCGAGATGGCCCTAAACTTGATTGTTTGGTGCAGGCGAAGCTGCAGAGGCTGCGCAAGGCAGCTCGGCAGCGCGTGCGACGGCAGCACGAGCCTGGCAGCGGCGGCCTCGACGCAGCCGTCAACCAAGCGCTGAGTGCTCTTGAAGAAACCCAACAGGTGCCTAACTCTGCGAGATGTTTCCTTGTTATTATTTATCATGATATTCATGTGTTTAAACTTTAAAGTTGTTTAATCAATTATTAATTTAGAATTTATACGATTTCATTTAATCCCTTTAAGCCTTTGAAATTTGTATCACTTTACTTGAGATTTTCGTTGTTTACTTCCAATTATCACCAATTACGCGTACATCTCGAACTTTGTTTCTACCCCCGGCTTGTGTATGCCAGGAGCTGGTGGCGCGCTGTGCTGCATTCAAGTCCTCCATGGAGCGGCTGTGGCTGCCGTGTCCCGAGGCGCCGCTGCAGCAGACCTCACGCCTCATCATAGGCAGCTTGACTGACGCCGCATTCAGCCGCACGCGAGGCTGTGGCGTGGGCCAGGGTTACGTTGTGGCAGCTACACTTATCTCCGTGGCACAGCATCGTGTGGCGAGATGGAAGGGGGTATCTCCGGATCAGCCCGATGTGGCCAACAAGAAACGGAAATTCGACGAATGCTCGCGAGATGAAAGTTCGTCATTGTCCCACTGTTCTTCTCCTGGCAAGCGCAGGCACACTGAAACTGGGCTTGACTCCAAACTTCCTGCAACAGTAGCCTCAACTTCATCAGCCATTTCCGAGGAAAAAATCAAACTGGATAAGTCAAAGCAGAATCTTCTAATAGATGATTCTTCAAATGACAGCAGTTGTTCGAGTAGCCAAGAGAACAACTCTGAAATTATTTCTAACAACGAAACCTTTGACGTTGACCTCCCACTTGTGCACGAGCGTGGCGTGCCTGTGCTCGTGAGAAACATTAATTCCCTACAGTACAGGTTCGGGATGCTCACCGTCTGTAGTCATCAGCCTCCGCCTTGATCGTTCAAGTTCTCTCATTAAAGATAGTTCACGTGTCAAAGTCTTTCATTCATTGAATGAGTTCCTTAATACATGTAGATTGGTGACTGTACTACGCGTGTTTTATTTTTTTGCAGGAGTCTGAGGTTGTTAACTTTGATGTAATAATAGTATTTAATTGATTACTAAGTAGCCTTGTGCATCATTTCTAACGAATTTGTGCTTGTAATTTCTACAATACTTTTAGTTCATTAGTAGGAAGAAATACGACGCAAATCTTCTGTCGCGTCTACCGATCTAACTCTTGAGCTAAACTTTAAAAAATATATTTCAGTACTCATTGCAGTGAGTGACAGAGCGCATTTTCTCGTCGACGAAAACGTGAAGTCACGGACGGATAGACAGATGGACATGGCGAGCACAATAGTGCATTTTTTCCATAAATGAGAAAATGCGCTAAAAATAGTTAACGCCTGCAACGTGTAATGAGAGAAGCATATTTTGATGGTACGGCCCCTGAAGATCAATATCAGATATCGGCGCCGTAACAGAAACAACAGTCATGCTCCCCTTTTTATCCATCTTGAAAATCCCACTCTGCATTAAACGTATAACATCGATTTATCTCAGACTTCAATTCGAAAAAGCTTTCATTGTAATATCTTTCCAAGTTGAAGCTTTCATCAGTTTATGTTGTGATTATAATTACCCTGTTGCTTTATGGCCGTAGCACGAATGAACTCATGGTTGAATTAATACATGTATTAATTAAACCATGAATGAACTAATGATACCCATGGAATGATATATAAACGACAGTAGCTTCTGCAAATTTATTGCGGTGTTGGTGAATCTTTTCATGTTAATAATAAATGAATTAGCCGTTCAACAATAGTAATTTTTATGCTCACTGGGACTCGACTTACAAGTTGAGTAATAATCAACATCAGTAGGAAAATATAGCCGCTGAATGAATTACCGATTCGGTTCTTTCAATAATCAAATTAAAAAAATAGATTCGTGGTCCTTTATTTATATAACAGGAATAAGCGATATTCTCGTTTTGATCAATTACATTTATGTTGTATTCAAGTGCACGAACATTGGTTTGCGTCATAATTCAGCTGTCGGTAATGAATTTTGCAGAACTTCATGCAAAGTATTGAGCACGATTGAGCAGATTTATTTATCGGGAACTCGAGGAAAAGTTCCAATAATGAAAGATGTGGCTAATGAATAATTTTTCTATCGTGATTATTGTGTACACAATGGCTTCATGGTGTTATGTGTATGGGTATCCAGAAAGTCCGTTAGTTAGTTCGTCATCCGTAGGGTTGCCGCCTCACTGCTGCCGCCTGGCGCTGCGCTTCGTCATCACCTCCACAGCAAAGACCACAGAAGCTACAGCGACGCCTGCTTGATGTAAAACACGAGTCATAGTTTTCATTTTAAAATTGCGGTATTGTGAATAATTTTTGAATATGTTGCCCCGGTGACGTTAATAACACTTCAATATGATAATTAAGTTTCTCATCCAGCCTAATCGAACCAAGTGAACGTTGATTTGAGTGAAAGCTTTACTTATGACTTGCAACAATTGACTAATGTTTTCTTTAAACAAGAGAAGCCGTTGCAGACAGCCTTTTGAACACGATACTATAATGCTTTCACAAAAATGTATCGTATTAACGTTCGAAAAAAATGAACTCTATTGAATGTGAATTACACCTCGAAGGCAAGAGAATGGTGAAGTCCCCTGCTGACTACTCACAAACGAACTGAATTTTCTGACGTGACTCATTGATGCCATAGATGAAATAGAGCTATAAAAAGTCTAACTGTCAGCGAGCGCGGTAAGTTAGAGATAAGCCTTGCACCTTACGGAGCTGCAAGAAAAAGTATGGGCCCTGCTGGCATTAAGTCCTGCAGCTATCTCAAACAATCGTCAGTTATGGAAAGATCGGATTCAAAAGGCCGGATCTCTTGTGAATCAAGTCACAAAAAATAAATGAATCGCCAACAGGCCATGGGCCTATTTCTTCAGTGCCGACACTTCTATTCTATCCTATAAAATTTTTATTTAAATTTGTAGGCGTGACTCACCGATGCCATAGACGAGAAAGATCCCAAGGAAGTCCTTAACTGTCAGAGCCCGCGATTCGCTGAGATTATTATCAGTCTTGGTGCACCAGGTCGAATTCCAGATTTTCTTCTTCAGGAGATAATCCGGCAGGCCAGTCTCGATCACACGCAAAGACCTGCCAATAAATAAAAATACTCAGTGACAACTTATTTATTTCCTTTTATTTTATTTCTTTTCGTGGGCCTCAACATATTAAAATATTTCGTTGTGCACGATTCAGGCATAATGACGCCTTTATGGTCATATATACATACAAATGATAGGAAGATTGCTTCGACTACAGATTAATATTAATGGAATAAGAAACAACCTTGAAGAACTGAAAGAGGTAGTACGAGAAAAGAAACCACATGTCATAATGATACAGGAGACGTAGCTTAAGGTGAGAGTCTGGCCACTTTTTTTTTCCCGGCTGTTTACAGATGGATCACTTTGAAACTTGGTACACCATTGTAAAACCGAAAAATAGACAGCTTTTATTCATGTCCATTTTTTCGAAAAAAATGAAAGAAAACGTGAAATTCTTAGAAAACGACCAAAAAAGGGGGTACTGTAGAAATCTATCTCCTCCTAGGATTTTCAAGCTACAACATTGAGAAACATATCATTCGATGAGTAAAGACCATATCTATCGATATATCTTGGCGTTTTTTGAAATTCGAATTTTGGTGGTTGGGGGGAGCATTTTTTGCAAAATTTTCGAAATTTTTTCGATTTTAGATTCCACTCAAGGATGGTGGGAGCGACTGCATGCACACCACCTCGTGCGAAGCCAGGCAGATTACTGAGCTGTTCCTCAAGCAGGCACTGTATTTATAGTGCTATGAACCGAATTAGCTCCTATCTAATTTGGTAAAAAAACTCCCCCACCCTCCCCCCTTTCATGATATGTCCTGAACGCATAAATCAACGTACAGAGATGGTAATGGTACCGTTGGATAGGGCAGAATGCCAGCTTTAAGATGAGACTAAACGGGTAACTAAGCTGCTCCTCAAGCAGACACTGTATTTAAAGTGCTGGGAACCGAATTACCTCCTATCTAATTTGTTAAAGAACCCACATGATCTGTTCTGAACGCATAAATCAACGTACAGAGATGATTTTGGTACCGTTGGATAGAGCAGAATGTCAGCTTTAAGATGAGACTAAAAACCAGAAAAAGCCCATATTCAAAATTTTGGCCAGACGCTCCCCTTAATTAAAGAACAGCACCAAACACCGATATTAGGACAGTACTCAGCAGTCAGATGTGATAGACCACAGGGAAACGGTGGAGGAGGGTTGCTAACCTACATCCACAGCAATCTTCAATTCAGGGAACTCCCCAACATCCAAACTTATATTAATGGAGCAGAGAGATCTGTAGTGGAAATAAAAGACGAAAGGAACTTCACATTGAGACTGGCGAATATATACATATAAGCAAGAGATATCAATGCTTATCATAATGATACCATTTGATCAGATACCAAGACAAACATCGCCAGATATCACGGTACTCTCACAGGATCTGAAGAGATACTCAAAATGAGAAACGAAGACAACAACATCATTAGACCACCTCCCAATCATACGAAAACAGAATAAGAAAACAGAAGACCTACATTAATTAAAAAAAAAGCAAAGTGGGATAGGTACGAAGAATATGTTAACAGTTTACTATCAGTTGACGATGGAAGACCATATGATATCAAAAGGGCGACAAAGAGAATTGAACTAGCAATAAAGAAAGCAAGCAAGAAATTCATCCCACACGGAAATGTAAAATCAAAAAGAAATCCCCCACCGGAGAACATCAAGGCAAATACGTAAAAGAAAGAGACAACACCAGAGAGATTGGGGAAAACCCAGAAAAAGTAAAAGAGTTAAATAACAACATCAAGAAGCATAAAAGGGAAAATTGGAAAACATTTGTTGCAGAAGACTGGGAACAAAATAAAATCATGGATAAATACTGGAAAGTGACCGAGGAAAGAGCAACTAACATCATGATAAAATTTGGAACGAAGCTGAAAAAGACCAAGAAAGAAATTTCAGGTTTCGCAAAACTATACACGGGATCCGCAAACAGGTGAGTAGCAGACTCAAAAGAACAACTAACAGGAAGCTGGAGAAGATATCAAGACGAGAGGTAGTAATAACTGAAGAAGAGGTGAAGAAGGCAATAGCAAGATCGAAAAGCATGAAATCAGAGGGTCCAGACGGAATAATACCAGTACACCTTAAACACCATGGACCAGCGGCCATAAAACACCTAACAAGGCTATTCAATGAAGTGGTCAACAGGAACAAAATACAAGAACAATGAAAAATTAACAATAATAATAGCCATATCAAAGCCGGGAATAGATCGTAAGATCGGCAAGTCGTACAGACCGATCTCACTTCTGTCGCCAATCGTGAAGATACTGGAAAGAGTTCTATTGAACAAAATTGAAAGGGACATCCCCAATATCCAACACCAACATGGATACAAAAAAATGCATTCAACAACATCGGCAATGCACAAAATAAACAATGTCATCTGTGCAGATTTCAACGAAAAGGCACCTCCCAATAGAACGATAATGGTGGCCTTGGATATGAGTAGCGCTTTCGACACAGTCAATTATGAAAACATGATAGAAAAGCGACTGCGAACACCAATACCTAAACAATTGTTAAGTTCCTAGCAAACTATCTAAGAGGACGAAAAGGTTATGTGGACTACTACGGAAGCAAATCAAGACAGAACACCTATCTTGAAGGAGTACCTCAGGGGGGAGTGCTGTCCCCGGTACTGTTTAACATATACATGGCGGACCTACCAACACCGCAAGAGGGAATGGGAATTGAAGTGGTGACCTATGCCGACGACATCACGGTATTGGCAAGTCATAAAGATCTACAGACAGCCAAATCCAACATCACTACATACCTTAACAGCCTTACAGAATGGATAGAGAACAACACTTGTTGCTTAATACGGAGAAAACTAAAGTCACTCTATGTAGAGGAAATTCATCAGGCACGGCAACAGCGGCCAATCTTCATTGGTCCGCTGCGCCACGTCAGTAGATACGTAGCCAATAAGTACACGTAGGTAGCCTTAGTCATTAGCTCGCTGAAACTCGTGGGAGGTGGAACGCGCACTTCTTGCTTCCACTCTCTGGTAAGCTGTAGTTAGTTAAGTTCTAACTTCGATCTGAATTCACTTAGGCTAGATTAACGCCCATAATAGTATTTTATTTCGACCAATCAACTAGATTCTCCTGTTAGTTCAGAATATGCTAACCTTGGCTCCTCGTGACATGCCTGCCATTTGGATGCAAATAACCATAAGCCGGTGATTGTTGACCCCCGTGTTCCTTGCTACAGATATACCTCCTGACTGGCCATCAAGGGGCTACTCATCCACGGAGTAACACGTACTGGCTCCTTCTCTTTATTCATGCCCATATCCACATCCGCATCCTCGTCCTCATATTCCTGCCTTGGCGCCTTAAGCTTGGGACTCAGCTGCACCACTTGCATCTTGGTGGAACCTTGGATCTTGGTGGAACCTTGGATCTGGGTGGAACCTTGGATCTGGGTGGAACCTTGGATCTGGGTGGAACCTTGCATCTTGGTGGAACCCTGCATCTTGGTGGAACCTTGCATCTTGGTGGAACTGTGCATCCTGGTGGAACCGTGATACCCCGGCAATCTTACTCACGCTGTTCAAGGGCACCTGTAACCTGCCCTCCTTTACCTTTCCTGCTTTATTTCTATTGTTTATTAAATGTTAAGTAAGTTTCGCGTGTTTCGATTTGCATCCCGTGAAGTATAGCATAAAAGTGTATGACTGCAACAACAACAGCGATAGCAGCGTGAAGGTGAATAGAAACATGAAGACGTTGCATACCATCGCAGTCGAGAGCTAGAGTCGAGAACACCCAACATGATTCCAAACGCACCAGCACCAAAAGTAAACGAAACAGAGAGGACCTTTGACCGAGGCATTAGGCGCACATACACGCAGTTAAGGGCGGGGAAATGCCCAATGCTTAGGGAGTACCTCAATAAGATCGATGAGACTAATTATCCAACACCATCATGCCCTCTATGTCAAAATCACACCCCAGAGTGTGGCAAGACCGGCTCGGCGCTCCGGAGGGGGGTGTGCCTGGGCGGCACCCAGTCGACTGACGTAATGATGGTCATCATCATTACTTCGATGTACATCAGGAAATGAAGGAAGCAGATATCAGCAAATTATAAGAGTAGTTCCATAACTGGATTTGAGTCGTTTTGATTCATGTTACTGTTTAATTTTGTTTAGTAGTACAATACAAAAAAAACAACTTTACTAAAGTTGAAATCAGAGGAGCATTGGTTATCATTATCAGTATTTACATGAGGTCCATGGCATTCTTGAGAGGCGAATTTTTGGGATATCCAAATGTCATGTACAGCGGCACCAAGTTCGACTTGACCGAAGCTAGGCGACAGTTGCCGTACTGTAAAAGAATATTATATAAATTATTAAAATCATATGTTAATTCGTCCGAAAATCGAGTCTGATTGTGTACTCTGCAATTAGGTTGTACCTAAATCCGTACATGAAAATAAATGAACTACACTACCGGACTCTAAAAAAACCCTAACTTCGTTAAATTAGGGTTAGAGTTAGGTGTGTCTAAAACCTATACGTTTCTAAAGACCTTTCTACAGGGGTTAGGCTCAGCCAGGTCAAGTTTTTTACCCATTTCCTGCAATTTAAAAAATTAATGTCCGGATAAGTGGAGTTATATATAATATATATACATATATTTATAATGTATATATATTATCGATAATTCAAAATTCTGAGACTATGATTAACTGGCATTTTTAAACCCCATTTAAATTGAAAAAAACTTGACCTGGCTGAACTTAATCTCTGTACGGTTAGTCCTAACCTTAAACTAACCCTTTTTACCGTCCTAACTCTAACCTAACGAGGTTGGCGTTAAAAAGCATGTCGCACAATTGTGTTCATCTATATTCTAAACGGTGTCGCACAATTGAGTACAAACTAATGGCCGAGAATATAATGCGACGCGATTTTGTCGCACAATTACCAGGCGTCACGGAATTTCATCAAAAAACGTCGCGCTATTGACCGATTTATGCATATGTGTATATGTATATTCATAATATATATAAATTTAGTATTACATAAACATTAATATAAATATATGTAATAAATTAATATTACATAAAGTATTATGATAATTTATTACGAACCAGAAAAGTTGGCATTTTTTGCTGGTTTCGACTTTCAAATATCATAAAATTTCTCTTAAAAAATAGTTCTTTTATTGGTGTGATGATTTTGAGAAGTTCCGTGGCAAATGAATATTTTTTGAAGGATGAATTTTCAAATATTTTGTAAAAATCATAATTTTCTCAAAGCAATATTAAGTGATTATTCAGAAGTTTTTTGTTCACCTTTGAGAAGTCATCAGCCATGAAACTTTTGGACCACAGCGAAGGGACAACCGCTTAAATAGAAAAAAGGCATTAAATGCATTAAAAAACGATCAATTAGTATAATTTATCTCCCGTTAAAAAATTAATGAACACTTATGGAAACATTTCTGAAACATTCACAACATTTATGCGACAAAAATGGCTAGACCTGTTGGAGTACACAACATCTAAATGCAGCGAGCAAATATTCATGAGAGTAATGTTATAATGGCGCAGAGACCACTCATAATTTGCTCAATATTTCAGCATCGTAATTTTTGTCATATCGACATCTCGGACCGCAAACCAATTGCTCATTATCTATAGACAACACATAAGCTAATATTATCATAGCTTACATAGACCACGTGCGTGGAAACTGTACATAGAAAGTTCTCTTGAATATTGAGAACTTAGAGAACTTTCGTCTGTTTTTAAATTAAGAGAATTTGAGCATTCAGAAGAGGAAACAAGTGTGAACAAGCTTTTTATTAACTGGCTAAGTTTTCACAATAAAACGTGCAGAATCATATTTTGGTCCTTCATAGTATTGGATTTGGGCAGTATATCGTTTGCCCATACGCTCTATGGGCAGTATTAAATGCCAAGTGACCCGTGATAAAAAAAACTAAATATATAATTAAAAGCTGGAAAAATGATAAAAAACTAAAAAATGGGGTTTTCGTCGATATAAAAAGCTAAAAATGTGTTCTCAATGAATAAAATAGCTAAAAATGGGTTCTCAGTGGAAAAAATTGCTTCTCCATAAATATGTAGCGACTCGTATTCATAACTAGCATTATCATTCCTTGTGAGTGGCGTAAGTAATTTTATTAAACCTTTAAACTCGTTGGTCATCAATCTCTGTAATTATATGTAACCTTGAACTCTCCTACTTATTTCGGATTTCATCAATCTCATTATTAACCCATTACAGAAATATCCAGTCAGTAAATCATCGATTCTCAAGCACGAATAATATCCGTGTAATTTCTAAATGATAAGAGGTTTAGCAAATGTCGAAAATACTTTTATATTTAAATCGTGCCATCAAATATTGTGAATTTTGTTTAGAATGCCCCGTGGCTACCCATTAGCCAATCGCGCTCTAGCCTTGCGTCATTTTTCTGTCTGATGCCGCGTGAAGTTAACATCTGCTGGGGTAAGCTGCCACGTTCTTTAAAATCAAATTCTTATAATGTAATTTATTATTTTTAAGTCCACCTTTCTTAATTGAATCACCATGTGTATTTCCTGTATTCTTTTGATATTGTTATCCCATTGTGTTCATGTCATGTTTATTCTAACGACCAACAACTTTTGTAGGTGTTGGTCGGCTTCATTGTTCTTCAACCGCAATAAAATCACTGAACTTCACTGTCTTTATTCCAATATACGTAATATTTCATCAACTAATTCGGGAAGAGGGACGGCCGCTGTAAAATCTAACTTAAAATTTGAACAAGTATTATAAAAACCGCCTCCTCTCTCAGAAAAAATGCCTAAAAATGAATGCTCAAGGGATAAATAGGCTAAAAATGGGCACATAAATCCAACTCAACTCACCCGCAACTTCCTCCATATGAGGACCATGTAAACCCAAAAAATTGATTTGGACAAAGTTTACCCACACCCAGTATGTACATGCCATGTGTCCTGTAACTCTATGTCCACGATATCAACTCTCTTCCTGAGGACCTTATAAAAAAAGATTTTCACTAAGTTTAGCTACACCCAGTGTATACTATACGTATTATATGCCTCGTAACTCAATTTCCACAGTATCAACTCACCCGCAACTCTCTCATTGAGGACCCTGTCAACGACGTCTGCCGTCAGCGGCGGGTTACCGTCTCTGAGCGCCCACAGCTTGCCGAAGACGTGCTTCGGTTCGGTCTTCGCAATCCCCTGCACAAATTATTCACATTAGAGAATAACCTCGTCCTTCTGTATGATGATTTAATTTACTAGTAATCGTGTGTAAACTTTAAGTGTGCTATAATTTCAATTGTGGGTAGAAGGTCTTAATGTCTTACATGTAATTGCGTTATTACCAATTATACTGATCATATAGAACTGTAAGAAGTGTACATGAATGAACAAAATCTCTGCATAGTGATAAATAGCTTTTACGTTCAATGTTACCACGTAATGTTCAATGTTACCACGTTTTACATGGTAAACATTAGATGGTTGCGAATGGAAATTGTTAAAAGGATTAATGTTCGCGAATTTCAGAGCATCGTGAAAACTACTCGGCTGACCGGCTCCTTATCAACTATCTCACCCTCGTTCGATTAAAAAAGAAAGAAGTATCCAGAATTCATCAAGGGACACCAACCCATGGTGGTGCTGACCCAAGGTGGTGGAAGCACAACATCACAATATTGTATGAGAAAGAATATTGTGGTGATCGAGTACATAACACGGCCGCGGTCGTACCTCGAAGTAAGGGCCATAGATCTGGCCGGCGATCCACGTCAGTTTGTAGTCCTTCTGGCTGACGAACTCCTCGTCCGTGCTGAACGGTAGTTTGATCTGCCATGACATATGATACGACCATAAGAACGGCACAGATACAAAAAAGGCTTAGTTGGATATACAGATGAAATTTCGGAATTGCCAAAATCCTAGTTCACAGGTAATATTTTGCAATGATTCAGGAACAAGATGCATCGCATCAACGATCGACCATAATTTGATGAAACCAGCACTGTTTCGCCCTGACCTAGTCCACTTACTTAGCCTTGATGATCGGTTCTATCTTGGCTACAAGAATTTTGTCATTAATGCCATCTTTGCCATCACCACCTGCCTTGTTCCGATTACCAGTCTCCTCTTGGCGACAAAACATTTTTCTTGAAAAACTTGATTGGTTGACGATCATAATTTTTTACACCTAATCTAGAAGCCAACCTTGTGACTGCCTCATTTTGATAACCGAGTGCGTCTTGATAACACTCAAGTCATAATGCCACGTCTTTGCTTGAAGGCCAGACTTCTGTTGAAAATATAGCTTGTCATGTTAACCAACCTTATCGTTGATGAGGATGGCGCTGAGGTTACACTTGTACATGGCACCGATCATGAAGCTCACGAGGAGCCAGAAGGCACCAAGCGTTCGGCCCGCCTTCCAGCCGGGCGAGTGTTTCGAATCTGGTGCGATTTATATTGACAAAAATTGGGTCTAATTCCAAGTACTAACTGTAATTTACTAGCATATTCCACCCCTGAATATTCACATTCTGGGTAATTATCAGAACGATATATGTAGTGATTCGTAGCACGTAAATCACCTTGTGACAGAAATATCTGCAGCGCCCACATGAAGCCTCGAGAGCCAATATCAATCTTCGACACGGAACCCGGGCGACCGGTAGTATGGCCACCGCGAGCTCTGCGCAAACTCTTGATTAGAGAAATTTCAACGTAAACGTCGAGGTAAATTTGAATATCACTTGTACTTTTGCGAATCTGAAAATCGTAGTTTCGAACTAATAAGTCATTCAAAGATGTGCATTGTATATTTATTTTCGTGCTTTTCGATACCAATTGGTCATGAGTGAATTAGGTTACGAAGTAAACGTGAGCAGAAGAAAGTAAGCCGCAGAGGCCGTACCATAAAATATAGTTACGTGTTCGTAACCGTCAGCTAATCATTGGCGGCTTTTCAAGCTAAATTCTCCTATCAAAGACGAAAAATTGGCCGCTACGTGTACTTTGGCCAATTTGTGTACTGAAGCGAGTTTTGATAGTACAACCCCTGAATTTGGGATTCCGTAAATGCACCGAGTTTCAAGTCTCGGCTAAGTTAGCCCTTCAAGAGGGACTTTTGACGTGTGTCAGTGCTCGTCAGAAGTCCTATAGGATTTCGCGCTCCTAGGGGGATTGTTCCTGAGCGCCCCACCGCTGAGCTCGCGGTGTCTGACTGCAGGTCTCAGTTGTGGGGTTAAGTTATTATGTAGGTATGGTTCCTTACATTTCCCTCCTCTGTCTCTCTCGTGCGGGTGGCCGACGTCCCGTGTAAGCGACCTCCTGCTCGAGTGTCTTCGTTTCTGTTGCTGTTCACCTATCCCTCCTTGTCACTTCGTCTCTTTGAGATGCTAACACTGCTTCTTTCGAGCCAGCTTTAGCGGGCTGGACAATTGAGAGCCTTCCGCCCTTTGTGGGTGATGATTAATTTGAGATTTTGAATAATTGTTACCTTCCGCCTTGATGGCGATGTTACATTTTGACCTCCGGTGCGAAATAGCTTGATCGCTGAAGCGCTAGCAAACCATTCTACTACTACTACTACTTCGACGAAGTTAGGAGCCAACTCACATAAAGCGGGATACAGCAAGCCCCAGCAACCCAGCCACCACTCCGACAATCAGCACCGACAGCAGCACGCAAACCCAAACCTTCACATAAAAGTTGATGAAATAAGAATGCATAGATTGAAACGATAGTTTATTTCTTTAATAATTTAATTCGTCAATACAGTGCAACTATTTTTGCATTATATAAATTGTTTTCCAAATGCTGCAATATCAGGAATCGATATTTGTTGATTGATGAATAGTAATTATTCTCATAACAGAGGTTCCTGAAACTTTCCAGTGATCTTATATAAATTTACTTTCTTTCAGGTTACGGTTAATTGAAACTGATCATAATTGTGTATTTCTTTCGAATTAAAGGTTGACCAACTTTTTTTTACTGAAATTTGTCGTTAAAAACCTTAAAATCAATTCTTCAATAATTCATGTGATGTAAAAATTAAATTTGAATCTTGATCACGACAAACAGGCTGTATTTAAATCCTTAATGTTGACCAGCAGAATGTTTAAAACTAATGGGCCGTTCGTATAGTACCCATTTAGTTTCCCAATCAAATTTAATAAAAAATTCCGAAAAATTTAATATTAAATGTTTAATTCGCTATTTCGGCTCCTAACGTTTATATAATTTTATGCCCTTTACAAAAAATTGCCTCCTTAAATAATAATTTGTTCACGATTTATTACTGTTCTTGTGCGAAGTTTGTTAAAGTTTTTGTTATATTTCACAAAAATAAATTTGAATTTCTAAATTTGAAAAGTTTAGCGGTTTCTTGGTACGAAATAGTAGAAATCGCCACAATGGGTTGAAAGCAATAATTATGACGTTCATATTTGAATAATCTTACTCCATAATCAATACATTGAACGTGAGTTTTCTATTTTTATCTAGATTTCATCCCAAAAAGTAGATTGCTATTCTTTCGCAGAAATGTGACCAAGTTTAATATTTTGTACAAATATCGAAATATTATTGAAGTCGATATAAATATCGACTTCACAAACATTGTTAAAAAACTAGGATGGGATAGCATTAATATATGCATAGCGGAGAAAGCTTTTTTTCCAAGCCATATTGGCCTATAGCCTATCTTTTCATCAGAATTTGTACAGCCAGTTACGGGTCTCGAACCTTACAACTCGCTGTTTTAATTTTGGTGATCGTAACCATTTGCCCACGCAGAGCCAAGCTCACGTTAATTTTCAATTAAACAAAGAAGTGCATGTAATTTATTTTCTTATGCTTACCTCGAACATGAATGGCTTTGTGAATATGAGGACGTCAGGCTGGATGCTAGTGATGCGGCGGTAGAGGTAGTAGTTATCAATCTTAAAGAAGGCTGGGGCATAGTCCAGTACTTCCGACCTGTAGAGGTACACTGATACTGGCCCGAGCATCATGTCAACTTCCTGCGCTCAGAAAAGGTATTAAATATGATTAATTGTGGTTTTCCTGTGCCAATATATTGACAACCAGTTACGAAATTGCCTTACGTACAAGTCAGCCTAACAATAAAAGAATTCGATACATTGGCGCCTGGCAGCCCTATAAAATCAGCGTCTGCATGCAGTTTAAAATGTAAATGGACAGTAGTAAAACCTTTCAATCATGACTAAGATTTTATTAATGCGCATACCGATGGTGATTGGGCTTGGTGTGTCGTTTCACAAATGATCTGCAATTCTTTACTCCACGAATTTCCCCTACTCGGAAATAATTCATGTAAGAAGAACTAGTAGAACTACTATACATTCTACTCGTTGAGATTATTTCTATTAATGAGTAGGACCGAGTTAAAAAATCTCAGATTTATTTCTAGTGGAGATTATCTTGAGTCGGGGATTGCAAAATCAGTATTGTTCGAAATAACCGTGAAAAAACGGAGTGACCGGCGAAATAAACTGTTGTTTCACCGGTTTTTATATGTGGTACGGGTTTCTAGTGTTAATTTGGAAATAACGGCAACACTGTGTTCTTTTCACGTGACGGGCGACCACTGAAATCCCAGTAATACCACTTACGGCGATTTATCGAACAGTGTACATTGGTGAACATGAATGACTAATTCTTTTACTCAGACTCCCGAGATTTAGGCAAATGAATAACAGTTCACAACTCGACCGCTCAACGAACGAATAGGTTTGGTTTACGTCATCAACACCAGACTATTATACGGAACATCCTCCAGAAATATTGTAAAAAATGTTGAATATTCATCAATGAGATCCTCCAACTAAATACGCTAAGATCGTAAAATATTGTACGCTGATGTGCAATATTCAGTGATGACGGAGGCCAGAGATCATTATTATACGGTGATATGCAATATTTATTATATAATATATAATATAGCGGTTTCAGCGTTTATTAGGCCGTAGGCCTGTCGCCGATTCTTAACATCGCAGAACATTCACAGCATTTTGCGGTCTCGAACTCGCAACTCACTGCTACAATTCTGCTGTGCTTAACCGCCCGGCCTCCTTGCCGATTCTGACCAGAAACTGGCGCGCAGAGCTGGGATCGAACCCGCGCCTCTCTGCGCCAATCTTGGTACTCTGAACTTTAACCACTGGGCCACCCTGCCCAACCACTGGGCCACCCTGCCCAGTGGTTGGGAGAGTACCAGATAACAGATACATTGATACCAGAGGCCGGAGAGTACCGAACATCATGCAGTGATTTGCAATATTTACTGCGGCTAAGGTTTAAGATCATGCAACATTGTATAATGTGCCATTCTTAGTGATTCCAACGTGTTGGCATCACTCAACATTGGACTGCCACAGACCCTGCGCTGCACCATGCCCGTCGCCCCGTTGTAGGAGCCGTTCGTCTCCATGCCCACAGTCCGGTCAGGTACGGCCACGAAGTTGTAGCTGCGACACAGGGCAAATTTTTTCAGGTCTCTTAACTTTTACAATGTTAATTAACAAGAATTTTAGTAAAGTCTAAGCAAGTTATTGCAGGCTGCTGCATAAGGTTTTCTCACCGATAAATTAACACCAGCACTATTGACCAACAACTCAAACTATCTTGCGCCACAGCTTCCTTCATCATCAATCGTTTACCTCCTCTCAGACACCGTCATCCTCTCCCCACCTCAGGGGATCTTCCCCATTGTTTTCATTTCGGGATATATTTTAGATATCTAAATAGGGGATATATTTTAGATGTATAGCCTCTTCCCACACTCACCACCACTTGAGGGCGTGCATAATTATCCTGAATACTTCGACGTGGGCGCCCGAGTACGGCTTCGTGTCTAGATTGACAAGCGCTGGTGCCGTCTGAATACAATTATAATAATTATGGTTATTGATGTAAGAAAGAGACATTGAATGAGAATAAGATTAATCCATTCATCTGTGAGTGTAAAACAAAATCTGTGTCGACTATATACGACTATTACATGAACAGTGAACACAGATGTGAAAATTTTTCAACTGCTTCACTGTAAAATATGGTAATCATTAAAGTGAACAAAAATTCTATAGAAATTGTAAAACTTATCGTACGGAAATGAACTATTATTATTATGATTCTTTCAAGGTAATCAATTATCTGTTGTATAGCTTATATCGTACGACGTTCCAACGAATTAACAATTACAAATTTTATTTTTTCAACCATGTTCCCTTCGGTCCAAAGAAATCAGTTTACGCGCAAGTCATATTAGATTATTATTACCCGATCAATTAAAAAATCATTTGATTATATATTCTATTAACCATCCGTTCTAATGAAAGTAAACGATTACGTTCAGGTAATATAGGTTATTATGTTATTATCTTATCGATGTATATAGTAACATATTAATTATTCAAGGAATTACCGGGAAGACCGCGACGGAGATGCACCCCGGGGTGTCGCTGGGGGCCTCGAAGCTCTCCCCGGTAGGGGAGTGGGGGATTGTCCACGGCCTCATGAGGAGTGGGGGTTGGGGGACGTGAGGCCTGTTGTAAACAGCCAATCAGCATTGAAGGTTTTGACTACATATAATGTCTGTTCCACCATTAAATTACTAGAGCATGACCACAATCGGCTTATGTTTCTTTGGTTCAGAGACGTGGAGAATGGAAACTTTACTGTGGTCGGCTATCGTAATCTTAGACTCAGTTTTGGCCTGCGGTGTAGCCCCCAGCTTTGCTCACGCTTGCATTGTACAAAATCCTTAAGCTTGACAGATCCGGAGATGAAGAGCTCGACCGTCTGAAAACTTCTCTCTATAACACCATTTATTGGACAACTGCAGCTCATGTTTTCAAAGGGGACACATACGAAACTGTATATTGTCATGCGACTTCCCTTATTCGTTTAATTTCGTGTGCTAATATGCTCCCTGACGTGACTGATGTTCCTTCTCAGGTTGAACCTCACCGTCAGCCTACACGGCAAACCGCTAATTTATGTTGAGAAAGAATCAAGTTATTGATTAAGGATGGATCTGTTTAAATTCAAGAGGTTTCCTAGATTTAATTACTATTCAACCTTTCGATTTCCCCCCAATTTTGTTGTGAAATTCACCTCGCGCGGGGAGTGTCGCATACCATGCAACCCCTGTAAATATGACGTGACCACATACAGCGGCGTAGCCACATACAGAAGTCGGCTAACCGGGCACGGTTCCGCTCCCTTCCTTAGATTTAGAAACCTTAGTTTAAGTGAATATATTCGACTATATTTAGCCTTGAAATTTGAACTTTAGTTAAATAATTTGCATCAAAATAGATCATTTATGGTAGCAGCACGAGGGAGCGCAGCCGTGGATAACAAAATTGACTCGTAAACAGGCCCTGGGCCTAACGCCAACCATCAGCATGCAATATCTACAC